AGTTGGGCAGGGTCATGTGACAAGTTCTGACTAATGGCTTGTGTATGACCCATCAGCTAGAGTTCCTGAATGAAAAAAAATGTGGGGCAGAGCCACCTGCCATTCTATGATGGACATATACCATGATGAGAAATACACTTCCGTGGGTTTGAGCCACTCACCCAGATTTGGGAGATGTTTGTTACTGCAAGACTAGTCTACCCTGCCTGATACACTATGGAAGGTAATTTCTTAAATAAATCTAAATTAACTGACTGAAAGTGACAAAATAAATATAGAGATAGAGATGTCTGCAGGACATTGAGGGGAATAGTAGAATAAGCATACAACAAGAACAAATCTTTAAGAAGGACACTTTGGTTTACAGCATCTTAAATCAAACACTAAAGATCAGTGAGTTAAAACTAAACACCATGGTACTGACTAATTAAAAATGACCAGGTTGAGTTTGTTGGTATCAACAGTGGCGGTGAGGGTAGTAACATCACTTACAGAGTAGCTATCGTATTCCAGATACTGAGAAATGATGTATACAGATTGCTGTTTTTAACCTGGACACTGAGAGGTGGTAGACGATTGATACTTGCTGGATTATCTCCCTTTCACATGAGAAAACCAAGACTCTATTACATAATTTGTCTACAATCATATCACTAATGGCAGTCATGTAACTACACGTGTCTATATTTTTTACTCTACCATTAGTCTGAAATAGTAGGAAAACCTAAATTATGAAATTAAAAAAAATAGATTTGTCATTATTCTGAGGCATTTTATAAGAATATGAAAGTATTGTAGAATCAAAAGGAAGCAAACTTTGGCAAATGGAAGGCCCTGAGATTTAAAAGGATAAACAGGATGTTCTGATAATTGACATACTATTTGTTTGTGAGGGATGATACATACTTTCAATAAAAAGTTTATTTTTTCAAATTATAAAACTAAGACATGCTTATTGTAGAACAGTGGAAAATACAGAAAAGCACTGAGACAAAAACAAAAATCACAAAAAATCCCATCATGCTACCTGAGAAATTAACATTTAGAGAATTTCCTTCTAAGTTCTTTTTTTGTATGTTGTTCTACATAGCTGAGATCATAACCATTGTATAATCTTGTGTTCTGCTTTTTTCCCCTTATATTAAAAAAAATCTTACTATGTTACTAGGTTTTCAATAATATTTTTATCAATATAGTAATAATAACTAAGTTATGTATTTGCCAGGCATTAGAATAATCACCTGTATTAATTCATTTAATCCTCACAATAACCCTCTAAGGTCAACATTATGATTGCCCCATTTTACAGATAAAGAAACTGACAGATAAATGTTAATGACTTGCTCAAGGTCACAAAGTAAGTCCATGATAGAGACGGGATTCAGACCCAGGCAGCTGGTAGGTCAGCACTCTTAACCACTGTATCATACTGCTTCCATAATATTCCTTCCTCAAACTTACCAAAAATAGACCTTGGGTTATTTCCAATTTTTTCTATTATAATAATGTTACAATAGGCATCTTTATAGGCATCTGAAGCACTATTTTATCTACGCCTATTGAGACAATAAAACTTACCATTCCAACAAGTTCAATTTATTTTCAGCTAGCTGACAACAGCTGTAGAAACATCTAAGATGGCTAGCATTTCATAAACCAACTCATTACTCCACCTACCCGTGGTATGAACTTCCATGTGGTCCTCACCTGTCTACTCCACTGCCATTTGCAGCAGATTTTTATAATGTTTCCATCTGCTTTCACACTGCACCAAGAGCCAACTAAAACCCTGGGTCTGTTCTGTGTATCCCCCAACATATATAAGCAAATTCCGTGAATTTTTATATCTGGATTATTTTAATGCTAAGCTTATTTGTTCCCAATCTTAAGAACTTGTGCCAATACAAGGCATACAGACAGAGCTGTAACGTTCAATATGCCTGTGTAAAATTAAAATGAATGATTTTCTAATTCAGACAATATCCAGAAACGGAATATTCAAATATTTTATTTTTTGCTTACTTACAGTGAATGATTGAATTCTATTGCAAGATTAAAGGAATGCACATTCTAAATCAATGTTTAGTATGAGGTGAAAACTATCCAAAATAATTTCACAAGCAGATCAGATAATGGTGTGTTAAGTAAAACTAAAACATGTGGCTCTGGCTGATAGTTCACATCTTCTGAACTCAGTTTACCTATCTGGCTATCTAAGAATATGTTTCAAATAACAGGGAATGCATAAAAACAGAAGGGAGAGGCAAAAATACAATTCTAAAAAGTTTAGAAAATCCTAACTCAAGAAAGAAATTTTCTAACATATGACAGTACCATATACAGAATTCCTCTGCCATATAAGAATGAGATCAAAACATCTAAAGGGCTAAATATCTCCACATATTTTCCACAAAGTATTTTTCCAGGTTGTAAAAACAAAAAATTTTTTTATGTATTTAAACAACATACCTAGAAAAATAATCTGAACTCTACTGACCAAAGGCCTAATAATTATAAACTATAAATATCTGTATAAGACACATAGGGGTAGAAATCACGTTTATATACAAGGAAAGGTAGGTCCTCTGAAATATATGTAAGATACTGAAACTCACAGAACAAAATCAGGAACTTATAAATCTGAAGACAGTGATCATAAAGGAAGCTAAGTCATTTCCAGGGTACTATAAAAACCCAAAAAACTACTGCAATTAGTCTAAGTCCAAATTTCAAATTATTAAGATCTGTTAATACTATCTTCCCAGAAAGTCTTGGTAAGAAGTTGGTTTGTATTTAAGATAAAGTTCACTCACTGTTTCCATATTATGCTTAACATCTAAATCCTCTCTGTTCTTATTTTATTTCCACTCAGTAAGAAAATGCATTTTTTAAGATTTCATTTTCACAGCACCCAAACTAATAAATAGGTTGTCTGGATCATCCCCACAGGTGGCCCCCAATTCCACTTGGCCAGTCCCCACCCTCCACAGATGGAGATGTCACCATCAGGCTCAAACCTGTACAGGACCCTCGAGGACTGCGCACTCCCACCCACTCTGTTTTTTCCATCCTGACTTTAAAAAAAACAAGCCTCTCTATTTAAAAAAACAAAAAATGAGAGACTACTGTTAGAAAATAAATCAATTACAAACAAAAATCAAGTACTACAGACAAACCATCAAAAAACTTAATAGGAAGTCAAAAACTGAGAAAGTGTAGGAAAAAACAAGATTCTTCAGGACAGTAACCAATGCTTTTTACTCTGCTTCTACAATGTTTTTGTGTTCAAACATCAATTAATTTGTATCCAAAGGACTATCAGACATATAAAATAAAGGCCTTTTTTTTTTTAATCTCCAGGGTCCCAATTTCTGTTCAGACAAAAAGAGATGCACATTTGCAGTGAGTGGGGTGGGTGGCCCAGGGGACCCTCAATGTGAAGTTTGGGATAATACATCACTAATTAGTCCAGGTAAAACCATGCAAGACAAGATGTTACATACAAGTATTTCCTACATATAGTCACAAGATTTTTTAAGACTGTTGGAACAAAAAGATAAATAAGTAAAAATAAACTTGGCTAAACTAAAGAGGATAACAACAATCTCTGTTTCTTGGTAATACATTTAGAGAATTTTGCTGAAGTGAAATGACAAATTTCAAGATATGTTATTAAACTGTAGCTATTTTAAGGCAGGCGAAGGCTGCATTAGTGCTTGTCCTACAGCTTACTCCCAATCGCTTGGTCATTCTCCAACACATTCCAATTTTTTCTGCCTGGCCCTGCTGGAATCACATCCCACTCATCTCTAAAGACACACTAAGTAAGATGTTACTTAGCACATTACACAACCAACCTGCCACTTATTCCCATCGGGTCACTTTGCACAATGTCTGACTCAAAAAAAAGTTAGACCACCATCTGTGAAGATGCAGCCTAGTCCAAGTGATCCAATGCACAGTGGTCCCCAAAAACAAACATCAGAGCACTGCTCAAATTGGCGGGAACACTGTGCCTCACTGCCCAAAGAAAGGCGGAACGCTCACCACCAACTAAGGAAGGAGAACGGATATGGAGGGACAGAAGCAAGAACAAATCTTAAAAAAGAGACACCTTCACTCCAGATGCTTAACCCTCCTCATGCTCACATTGCCTGCATTTTCAAGTACCCTATTAATCTGGTGTATCTTAAAAGAATAATCTCAGTATTTAATGAGTCTCATTACCTCTGCAAAAAGACCAATTTAGCATAGCAATAAATCTCTAAGTTAATGTACTCTTTCATTGTTAATATTTGGCCAAAAAAAAAAAAAAAGAAAAAGACCGCTTCAAAAACAAACTGGAATGGTTAACCACATGCTGCTACATTCCATTCTCACTGAAAAAATATATTTAATTAGCACATTTGAGCCTCATGCTCTGCACAGCTGCACCACATTCCAGTGACAGACCAGCCATCGATACACCCTTTCCATTAAATATCTACTTACTTTAAAAATTGAGACTGTGAAACAGTTCTCAAGTATGACCCACTAAAAACACATTTCATGTGAAAAAAATGTTGTCTTTAACAAGGGTGTAGCCCCATAGAAATACGTACTATCATTAAGAATAAAGTATTCATGCAAACATAAGCTAAAAAATAATCTTTCCAAGCTGGAAATATATACATAATTTTTTTACATATATTTATATATATTTTATTATATATATATATATATAATCAACTGACAGATGTCTAAGAATAGTCTTCCCCAGGAACAAGATAATTAAAGTAGACTAGACTGCTCTCCTATTAAACTTTCACCCTTTATGAATCAAAAGAGAATTTTAGAACTGGGATGAAAGCCGATGTTCTTAACATCAGGAACACACACTTCAAATGCAAAATAAGCCTTTCCAAGTAAGAAATTATCCTGATTATCTGGGAACCTCAGGAATTCCTTTAGCAATGGGTGTTAATTTAAAAACAAGCAAACAGACAAACAAAAAAACCTACCTTTAAAACAACGAATAAAACACACAGTGCACCCTGCCTTCTTTCCTGCTCAAATGGCACACAAATGTCTTTGCTCCAAGGATCCTGGTAGGTCCTCGACTCCACCCCAGGAGATAAGCTGGGTATTTAAGGACAGCTGGCAGAACAGAGTTGTCAACCTGTGAGAAGGAACAGGCCTCTCTCAGAGAAGTCACCCAACTGATACCTCTGACCACAGCTCACCTCCTAAAATAGTGACAGGTGTGCTCATCGGGTCAGAGATCCAGATTAGGTCACATTCAAGCTCCCTGACCTCTCCAAACCTAGAGCACTGGGACCACTCTGAGCATAATCTCAGCTTAATGCCTCCCCAAGTGTTAGGCCCAATATTTGCAGCTGCTTGACAGTGGAGATCCCCAGTCCAGGCTTCAGAAAGCCCAGGCATATATAAGCCATCAATCATTTATTCCCTTGATGGGTTATGACCCTCCTCAAAGAGGACGATTCCCATCAGGTTAGGAGTTTCTGAAGAATCCTTTAGTTGGAAAGAGTAAATCCACATAGAGCTGAGCTCCATCACCCAACCTGACCTCCATCCATCACCCAGCCTAGCTGAGATTCCCTCTGAACTGTGAAAGGCTACAACTGGCATTTAGTGTTTAAACCTGGGAAGAGGGTCATTTGCCACTCTTCCTCAGGGCCCATCACCCTATAAGACTAGTAACAATCACAAAATATGTCACAGAAATTGCTAGAAAAGGTTCTCTTTCTCTTCCAATTGAAGGCTATTTCTCCCCTCTTCTCACTCCCTTTTTACCTCAGTATAAGGAAAAAAACCATTTCAGCACTTTCTTCAGGCAAAGGCCAAATGCTAGAATTAAGGCAACAAAGAAATGCCAGTGAGTCACCTCCATCCATTTAATGTCCCAGGGCTTAACGAACAGGTTTGCATAAACAATCAAATATGGATAGTGGTTATTCTCCTTGAAGCAGATTGTAGACCCACAGACAGAATTTTTTTTAATCTAGCTAATACAAAGACCCTAAGAAAGTGGAGCTCAGTGTATGCTTTCAACAGTGACAAGTAAACCCACCCACTAAAACTGAATTACATTTAAAACCAAGGTTATAATATCTACAGCCATTCCATTAGCAACATGTTATGGGGTAGCTGTTTCAAAGATTGAAATCTGAAGACAAAAGTAAAATCAGATGTTGTCTGATGCATATGGAGATATCTCAAGGGAATTAGTGCAATTCTGAGGGGAATTCCTTTCAAAACAAAACAGAAAGCACACATTACCGAGTGAGAACTTAATTTCTGGTATTTTTCCACTATAAAGGATTTGTTTCAAATAAAAGAAGTATGTGTAATAAACAAATTTTAGATCCTCTGTTTCCTCACCATTTTTGTTTAGTAACCCCACCAATAAAAATAACTCAGGGCAATATACAGTATGTATGCCATAGCTTTAAATATGATCAGTAAGAGAATTTTAAGTTTTGCCAAGCTATAGGTATAAACTGGAGGAGTGACAAACATCATCAAGGGAGTCTTTAGACTGTCAAACCTTTACATCATTAGCCTAAGATTTGAGAACTGGCCCTTATTTGTGAGAGGAACAAGTATGAACACAGGGGAAAAACGCTTAAAGGATAAGCACCTAATTTTAACTGAATGTTTCTGGGATCACTGAATATCTAGTGATTTTAATTCTCTTCTTTGTGCTCATTTTTATTTTCCATATTAACTATAATAAACACTTATTATTTTGATAATTAAAAAGAAAATGTTATTTTTAAAATGTTATGTCATGATTTTATAACTTTATGGAAGTATATATTCCTCATAAACCATTCAGAAAAAAAAAAACAAGCATACTCTATGTACTAGCAGACACTGACAAAAAATTCAAGGATCCTAAGGTAAAAAAGCGAGTATTTTAACTCTGAAGACTCCTGTATTCATTGTAAAAAGCACTCCTAAGCTACAGATTTAAAAATACAATAGAAAATGTTTAAACATCACAGAACAAAATAAGTGAGCATTCATTTAGAGAAAAATCTAAATTTTCCTTCCCCTTCAAATAAATAAGACAAGAGAGCCCAAAAAGGTGGGGGGGGAGGGGTGCTAAACCATGGTAAGAACATACATTATCCTACCCCAAAGACTATACAGCTGGTGAAGGACATTCCACAAAAATGTGCAGCCCCTGAACATTTACATTTGGCCTTGAGGCAAACACACTAGAACAAAAATTATCCCTAAAACAGACACTCAAAATTATCCCTTCTCATAGGGAAACAAGCAACTTCATCTGGAGCCAAAGGCAGCAGCCACAGAGGCTGATCTCCCGGAAGATGTTTTTGTCGGGCTCCCTGGTGGCCTGGTTCCTACATCTTTTCCCACACTCCAAGGAAGTAATGAGATATCAAGGCTCTAACAAAATGCATAATTGAATGAGAGGTGGAAAAATCTTTCCAAAATTTCAGTGTTCTTCACACCTTCTACAATATTGCTTTCCTGTAAGTTTCTGTATAAAAAAATTGAACAGCAGAGGGTATAATTAGCTGATTAATCATTTTACTTATTTAAGTTTTTATCCAGCTAAAATGAGGTTTATAATGTCAAGTGTTAGGATATTTTTGATAAAGAGTAAATTTTTATTGTTTAATATTTCCAAAAATTTGGAAAATATGATGGAGATGAAATTAGAACTCTTTCACAGTTCCATCACCCAGAGATAACCACTGTTAAGATAATGGACTAAGCACAGACATACTTTATTTATTTATTTATTCATTCATTCATTCATTCATTCATTTATACTTCAAAAGAATAAATTCTATTATATTTATTTATCATTCTAAATTTCATCTTAGTGCATTTGCTAGGTAAAAATCTAGTTATTTTCTAATACAGGTTTTACTGCCTATAATGGCTTCAAGTTTATATGGTAAAAATCAAAGCAGGGAACTCTAGATTCTAGAGCAGAAATGTTCAATGGTTCCCAAAATCATATAGGTGTTTACTCTCACAGTTTGGAGTTTACTAAGAATGGAATTATGTCACCTATAAACAAGGGTCAATTTTAAAGCAATCTTAAAATCATAACATTTTTTATATCTCAAAGCATACCTAACCTGAAAGCCACCTCAATCAACTTAAAAGCTCATGGCAGAAAAAATAACAGAATTAATGGAAGTAAATCAGTTCATTTTTTATAAGCTACATTTACAAAGTACCAACACAGCCGGGGACTTAGACCATAAAACAGAAACTACTATTTACTCCCAAACATTTCCCCCACAGGCTTAGGTCAGTGTGGCTAACTTCTGAGATTCACTTTCAAAACAGTATCTCTATAAAATTTCCCACTTAAAAAGTCTTAAAATAGAGCTTTCCCTCCCTTTGTGGTGGAGATTACTCAATCACATATACATCTCTCTTTCTCACCTATGTATTAGAGATAAGACATATCAGATATGATATATATATATACATGCATACATAAATCATATGTTACTTAAGAATTTCCATTCATACCAAAAAGAAGGGATATTCAAATTCATTCCTGCCACTCATAACATAAGAGTATCACCAAATGCTGAGAAACCATTAATTGGAATTAATCTAAATATGGAGTCATTTCATTTAAAATTTTCACTTGGAATTTTATCTACATTTCTGACCAATTCTAGTGAAGCATGGTGGTTACCAAATTAGCTCTGGCAGCAGTGTTTGAGCTTCCACAAGTGTGAACAAGTATGTCACAGGATTCTCTGCTCTCTCTGCACAAGTGTGCAGTCTGGAAATACTGGAGAATCCTGGTCTTCCCCACTTTTTAAGTTGCCTCAGGTTAGTGTAGAGTCAAGTTAGCATTCCATTACATCTGAATGCTCCACTTCTCTCTCAGACCTGTATTAAGATGCTGACTTGTTTTCCCACTGCTCTTAGAAAAGTGCAGAGGACAGTTATGACAATTCTTTGGAATTTTAAACTATTCCTTATTAATGACCTGTAATTGGCCAGATTTGCCTCTTCCTCTCCTTTTTAAAGTGTTGACTGCTCTTTTGATTACTAAAAAAAAATGGTCCCGATGGTAGTCTATTTACTGCACTATTCTCTATTTGTAAAATATTTCAAAATTCAAAATGAAAAAACTAAGTCATAGGCATTTCCTTTAATACAAGAAAGGAAATCACCCAGCAAACCACCATCCAAAGCAAAACATTAACATTTTAATGTATTTCCTCCCAGTCTTTTATGTAATATAACAAAGCTGGAGTTATACCATAAAGTCCAGCTCTGGATACAAATATTTCCATTGAATATTATATTGTTAGCATTTTCTCATTTCAGAAATATTCTAACAAACCATTATTTTAAGCACTATATTCCATCTTATGCCTATGTCATAGTTTGATTATGCCCCATTTGCTTTCTCTCTATTAATAGTCTATGAAAATCCTTTAAAAACCTGTTCTTAGTTTTGATTTTTTCTTTACATTACAGAACTTCAAGTGGAATTTCAGTCCAAAAGGTATAAACATTTGATGTTTCTGATAACATATGCAACCCATCGTTTTCCACTAAATCTGCATTAATCCAAATATTCTCAGAGGTGACACAGAGCTCCCACTTCATAATCCCAGAGAGCTTTATCTACGTAATAATTTAGGTAGGAAAATTAATTGTTTTTGTGTTTCATATTACTGGTGAGTCTGAACAATTTGATATAATTATTGACTTGAATTCTTCTTTATAAACTATCTGTTTCTATCCATTCCCCAAATACTAGGGTTTTAGTGTCTCCTTGTTTGTTAAAAATAAATATTAATCAGGTTTTCCTTTCCTATTATTTAGACATGATCCATAGGGACAAGTTTAATACACAATGAACTTAGCATTATTTATCTGAATAATGGTATTGTTTACTGGAATGCATCTTTTCTGAATAATCAAATTCTTCATTTGAATGAAAGCACACAATTGAGACAAATGAAGGAAAAATTACACATTTTAGGATAATTAAATTGTACTGTGATGAGACCTGGATTAACTCACTTAGCTTTACTAAGCCTTTGTGATAGTAATACCACCATTTTGTAGAAGATACTGAGGCACACAGAGCTCAGGGCAGTTTGTCCAAGGTCATGTAGCCAGCGCACGGACTGA